TCATTTCCTTTCCTGAGAACTGCATAGAGGGAAGGCTGGGAGTGAGTGGCTTATGTGTGTGTGGATGTGGATGAGGGACCCGGTGTGTGTGTGTGTGGGTGAGTAAGTAAGGGAAAGAAAAAGAGAGGGGACTCTATAAGGGAAAGAAAATACCTTCTACTGTGCAGCTTCTGCTCACTCAGGTCTGTGCCTCTTTAGTTTCTTCTCAGAATAAGCGTAGGGTATGTCTGTACCTTATCCGTTTTACTGTTTCAGCCAGTCAGTTTGTTTTGTTTCTGAGTTGCTGAGTTCTTGTTTAAAATCCCTCTGTAAAAGAAGCCTTTAGAATGTATTCGGGGCATGGAGTTTTTTTACTGGGCAGGAAACGAGAGAAGGAAGGTTTTCTTTCTTGACCTGGCAAAGATCGCTTACCATTCTCGTTCCCCTTCTCGGGAAGTCTTTGTCAAATAATGCGTGCGATCCGTGGGCATTTCCACGGGGGAAACCCACGGTAGGCTTAAATGTGGGGCTGCAGTAGGGGAACGGAAACAGCAGGTTGAACTGGGACTTTGTGGCACCGTAGTTTGTCACTCCCCTCAGTTGTTGCAGAGTCTGTGTTTGTGTGTATGTGTGTTGGGGCGCGCACGCTGGTGCGTTCGTTTGGGGAGAGTTGGCCAGCGAAGGGTTAAGGTTTAGAGGACACTTTTTTTGTGTTCATTATTGTTCTGGGACTCATGATGTGGAACTGTCACTTGCCACAGTACATAGTTCATGCAAGGGGGAGGGAGGGAGGGGAGGGAGGGAGTAGCTGGCTTGTGGCTAGCGGCTAGCGCTCCCCCCCTCCCCTCTCTTCAGTTAAGGTGGACCTAGCGGGAGCTGACAAAGAGAGAAGTTTGCCTTGAGATCAGTGGTGATGAACATTTGAGATCCAGCCTGGAAACTGCAGCTTGTCTCAGTATGAACTCGTGGGTAATGTGATAACCCTGACCTGAGTGCAGTGAGAGCGGCTGGAATTGCAGGAAGTTTATAAGCAGCAAGTACCCCATTCTTATTTGGATTGCGCCTGTCAGAAGTTTGGACAAACTTTTGTTGCTGCTGTTAATGGAAAGATGGGAATCAGATACTTAATAACGAGCGTAAATCAGTATGCTTGGTTTATGTGGCTTTTTGCATCATTATTGGTGTCTCAACACTCAAGAGCTCCTACAAACAAAACTCACGGCATTATGTGCCCTTCAGCAATAATTATGGAAATTCAAATCATCTGAACGCCAGTTGCCTTGGTCTCTCTATAAGTACAGTGGAATGTATAATCTGGATAAAAGCTCACTATGGTTAGCATTGTCTGTTTGCACTACAGGTTTTGCTCCCGGCTGTTTGAAAGAAATGTCTTGAATGCTTTCTTTGATGTCAGGCTTGTTTGTTTATTTGTTTTCTCCTCTAAAACTGAGTAAGCATTACTGAGATATTCAGGGAAGCATTAGTGTTTCCATCAAAAGCATGTGCCTCGGCTGTTATGCCAGACGTATGCCAATCAAGCCAACGTCACGCTTTGAAACCACCGAGACCCACTTCATTCCCTTTTCTTACTGGTGAACAGACTTGGTTAGCTAAGTAAATGGCCTGGTATGAAATGCACATCTCTGTCCTGGGTGGGGAGGAGAAGTGCTTGCCTTTGTGAATGGGAGTGGCCAGTTTGTAAATGCAGGGCGTAACCTCATTTTTTTTTTAAATGCCAGGCTCATGTTAAACATATAAAGATCTTGCTTAAAAAACAGCTCTTTCAGTTTCAGCATTCGCAGTGTGTTAAAAAACAGCTCTTTCAGTTTCAGCATTTGCAGTTTATGTGTGCTTGTGTGTGTGTGTGTGTGTGTGTGTGTTTTAAAACTTCCCAAAAGTGCTGGAGGGTGGGGTTGGGGCCCCTGCTTACCCAAGAACAAAGATGTAAAACTCAGAGAAGCTGGAGAGGATCAAACCTCGTTCTATGATGGAAGTGAAGTGGTGTTGGGGGGGGGTGTTTAAAAAAAATACTGTTTTGTTTGGCTGACAGTTAGGAAAACAAATTGGCCCAAATTGAGAGTCAGGTGGTGAGGAGTGGGAGGGAGATGTCGGTTTCCATGGTGTCTCCCCCTTTCTCCTCCCTCCTGCCAAGCCTCCCTCCAGAATCTTGGCAGGTAGGTTATTCCCAGCACTCCGGCAAGGCATCTTTATATGGCCCTGGTATGTGAGCTCCATTTTCTCAGTAGCCTTCAGCTTTGAAATGAAACAGAAACACCCATGGGTGTGTGCAGACCCGCACACACTCATAGCGTGAGTGATGAAATTTGGTGGCTACCACGGGTGCTATACTGTTAAAGTACAAACAAGCTGATTTCGCCCCCACCCCTTATGACACAGCTCCACTGCTGTTTATTGAAGTATGTATAAGTGGTGTATGTGGTGTACGGACACATAATTAGAAGTGCTGAATATACTACTGCTGTACCTGGCAAAGTAAGGCAAGTATTTTGCTCCCTCCCTCCCCCATCTGCACAGTTCCTTCACTATGTATTTGAGAGCACGGTAGAGCGAACTGTCTTGGCAGCAGCATTTTTCCTCTGCCTCATGCGCAAACACAATGATGTCATTTTCCTTTTCTGCTCGGGGCGGAGGGAAAGCGAGGGCTGGGCCACACTTATTTGCTCTCAGGTCACGCATGGTGTTTCCTAATGGTAGTAGGGCTATTGCGGATACCATTATTGGGGTCAGGATTTTTTTCTCTCTCTCTTAAGGGATGTGAGATGAAACTCTGGAAGGTGCAGTGGGTAGTGGGGACAGTAACCCCTTGCCTGTAATCTGCAACACTTGCATGGATTGCGTAAGAAAATGAACTCTTGGGATAAGGATCAAATGTTGCATCTTTCTCTTACCTGGTTCCGGCAGGTGTCAACAAAGTGATTTCTCAGATAAATAATCATCCCCCCCCCAAAAAAATACAAATGTCTTGCTCTAGTTTTCTGTAGAGAGACAAAAGGAAACAAGCACAAACATTTGTGTGATGTTAAATTTGGGATTAATCAATTCCTGTCTTGAAATAAGTCTTCACATACTTTCTATGCATATTCTTTTGCTCTCTTCCGCAAAGGAAATCTTGGACTTAAAATGCATCTTGAAACACATACTGTTAAGTGCATGGTTGCATTCTTACCTGCAGTTTTCCCCAAACTCCCAAGGACTCCTAGGCAAAACATACTTCTTGTGGCCAGAATGTGTTATTGGTTCACCTCTGTAATCCTTCAGCCACCCTCTCTGCTTGCTTCCCAAAACCCATGACATCAGTGAGGATGGTGAACTTGGGATGGCAATCATACCAAGTGCAGAGTTTCATGGGTCTTTCTGCCATCTTAGTGTGTGTTCAGTGATAGTTCAGTGACAACTCACATGTTTTGTGAAACAAAGAATGAAAAGAATGTGGAGCAGATACGTTCACTTCTTTTAAAATTCCAGTATGAGACCATGTTGGATTCCCAGTGTGGTGTAGTAGATAAGAGCGACAGACGAGGACTTTGGAGAAGAGGGTTCAAATCCCCATTTGGCTGTGGAAAGTCAGTGAGGGAATGGAACTGGTAAAACCACTCCTTGAACATCTCACTTACCTTGAAAGTCCTATTAGGGTTGCTATATAGTAAGTTGATTATGACTTGACAGCACAGAACACACACACATGAGACTATGTTAGGGGGATATTAAGGCACATATGGGATGTAACAAACGTCCATTGTAATATATATCTTAAAATTTCCTGTACAGGAAGAGGGAGAATGGGATCTTTTCCAAAAATATGACATCTGTGCCATTTAAGGAAATATAGGATTTTGTGTGTGTGTGCTTGTGTGTGTTAGTAAATAATGATATGCCATATGATTTATGGTGACCTTTCTTTTGTTTTCTAGGTGAAGAGTACTCAGAAATAGTTGACCATTCTCTTCTTCTAGGGGCATCCTGAGACTATGTAGCTTGCCCAAGGCCACATGAGGCTGACTTTTCTCTCAGGAAGGACAGCGGGGAATCATCTCCCTATGTAATTCAGTGAGCAATCCCTGTAAAGGGTACAGGAAATAGAAAGCAAACTGTGACATATTATGGGCTGTGGTGTGAATGGTGTCCTACCCTTCTCCAGTAAGCAGCAGATGGCATGAAGAACAGCTGGTCTAAAAATGGACAGGAAGTCTCACTCTAAATGCTGCATAGGGCCTTGGACAAGAAAGAGGGAGAGAGAGAGAGAGAGAGAGAGAGAGAGAGAGAGAGAGAGAGAAGGAGGCAGCGGGAAGGAGGAATTCTGGAACCAGTGGGGCTCCTCTGCTGGCTTGGAAAGGAGTTCAGAAATTGGAAAGTGAACAGTGCTGCTGTTATTTATCTAAATGTCTTGTCAGCCAGCCAGGCATGCAAAGGGAGGGTGAGGTGAGGGTTGAGGCCAAACATATAAAGTGAAATATTCAGACTTTTCTGCTATTTTTTTTAAAAACGGTGGGATATTTAATATAGGCAGAACAACTTAACTCATTTTAATGAGCTTTTAAATTTTCTTAAAAAGGAAGGATGGATATTATAAGCAAAGGCTGCTCATATCAAGCACTTCGCCCACTCCCCCCACAAAGGAAAAGTCATGTGATCTTTGGGTGCAATTCCATCCCCTTTTTGAACATAGACTAAATTGGATGTTTTGAAGCATTTTTCTTTGGATCTTAATCATTTTCTTAGTGTGCGACTTGTTTCTCTTTTTGTCCTGTATAGAAAGAGATGGGAGGGAGAGCAGGGAACTTCTTGAGGGGCATCTGTGTGTTTTGCACTGGCATGGGTCTCTTTATTTTGCCGTGCACTACAAGGCCCTTGGCCTGAAGACTGTTTGTTTGGGAAGTGGTGGCCATGTGTGCCCACTGTCCATTGATTGTCCTGAGCTGCACTGAACCTGTGTTTGCCAGCCAGGCATATTTGCTTTTATGCACGTTCTCTGGTTGGCACCGTTATGCATCATTCCTCAGAAGCCTGCTGTGTGGTGCTTCTTATGGGGAAGGCCGCCTTTTGTTTAAGGCAGTGCAGTTCCTGAGCTATGATGATCCTTACTAAGGAAGCATTTGAAATAGGTCTATGAGCTCTTTTGTCCATAGATATCTGTTTGTTACCTAAAAGAAAAGGTTGGGACATGGGGAAGGAGCAACAAGCA